TGTACGGAGAAGTATGAGGACGCTCGCCAACCTCCATCACTGACGTGAAGATTAAGCAAGTTTAAGAGATGGCAATGGCGAACCGGCGAGTTATCTTCCATGAGGTAGGATATTCTCTGTAGATTCAGATCTCTGTTTCTTCTTGGTGCACACTGCTAGTGGAGCAGCCATGTGTACACTGTCTATGTTGTTAACATTATGTCCGCTGATATTAAATCTTGGTTGATCTTCTAATTCTCTTGGGATCTTCTCGCTGTATAGTTAAAATAAATCCGGTGAGACGGCACACCTTTGTCTTATCTCTTTTCCTACGTTTAGGTTATTTACTGAACTTGTTATGTATTCACATGCAGTTGAGGTTTCCAGTCTAGATTACAGATTATTCAAATAGCTCTTCCATGTGTTTCAGGACATTGATGATCATGGCTCTCTACAATTTTTTATCCTTTCTAATTCTTAGTAAGATTTATTTATCTAAGAGAGATATAAAAAAATAAATCTGTCGACAATTTAGTCGACAGATTTATTTTTATTGCTTTTTAATCAATTTACTGCAAGCAAGTTGATGATGCATTGCATTAGGTTTTAGAATGTTGTAAATATAAAATTATTCTTGTAAATAAACACTAATAAATAGTGTTTAATATTTTTGTAGTAAATTCTTAAGAACAAAAAATGGTATAAATTCACTTCCATTATATGTTTAGGTTTTATTACAATTCTAATCATCAGTTTTTAAAGCAATAAACAGTTTAAAGATAATTAAAATAAATGTGGTATCAAGGGGAAAAAAACGTTCTTTTGACACTCTGTCTTATTGCAAGCATGAATGTCCATGTTTGCCACATTATGTATGCATGTAGGTGGGTATGGGGCACCTCGAGGCGGTGTAATAGTTAGCAAGATTGGATCGCTAGAACAATTGCGACTGAGTAGTGAGTTCGATCCTCACTGAGTGCCCCATAATTTCGGCCTTGTGCCATATCTCAGCTACGCTTGGAAAATCACTATATATATATTAATATACATAGATAATTACAGTTAGTTAGGTAGCTAAAGTAATATCATTGTCTTTTTAGCAGTTGTTTTTTATTTTGCAAGCACGAAGATTCAAGTTTGCCAAATAGCTTTTTTCAGATATAAATTACTATTTATTTTACATAATCACCACAGTTGGTTCTGAACTTTCATCAGCTACGAACAAATCCAAAGACGAGAATGATTGAGAGAGAGAGAGAGAGAGAGAGAGAGAGAGAATGTCCCTTTCTGCTTTCATCAACTGTAGTCAGTCGATTGACAGGTAAATGGATGAACATGGGAGACATAAAAGAGATTAAGACGTTCTATACATTCTAGGTCAAAGATGTTTACTCCATTCATAGTGGAAAAACAGAACGATGTCGGTGATATCGCTTCATCCAAAAAGGTTTCTTTAAATGTGTCGTCGCAATAATGGCTTTCTTTGGTTCACATTTATCCTTAAATAATTTTCGAACCACACGCCTTTTTTCGTTTTGATTTCTTCTCGAATATCATATCAATAAAATATGATTCAATCGATGGAAAAGTTTAATCAGTTCTCCTAAAACTTGTATCATAAAAAGAAAACTTGAAAAATTTATATTAATTTAATTTTATTCTTTAAATGAGTACTATACAGGCTAATTAATTCCTTGGACATGAAAACTTAAAACTGCAATATTGACAAAACTACTGTTTTGGTCGTCAACATTTTGGATTTTTTTCTGTATATATTTAGGATGTGTGTTGTGGTTAATGGATATCGACATGGAAAGTCGAGTTTGAATTCCAGTCTAGTTTGTTATATTCACTTGGGAAATATCCTTGGGAAAGGTATGAATCCATCTCTAATCCCCACCAGCTATGAGGGAGAAATATGTATGCCAACTAAGGTTAAAGAACCCATAAGGACAGACTGGGTTCTTTAATCTTTGTTGCCAACCGGTCTACCGTAGAAAGAAATGGCAACCTACTGCCTCGTCAGTCATGTATCGAAAGATACATGATCGCCCAAGCGTGTGACACGTGACTGACTGATATATTGATACATGATAGGATAAAGAACAAATAGGGAAAGTTCATAAATGTTTCGCTTTTATTTAAACTTCATCAGAATTGAAATATAGAGAAGAAAATAAAATACTGGTATTTATTTTTGTGTTGTTTGATTTTCATTGGTTAAACAGACATCACGTGTATTTATTTTGTCAGGTAGCGTTCATGTGTATCATAAATTTAGTTGATCTATGCAAGATTTGGTTGATAATGTGTGTTTACGTGCACGTTTGAGCATCTAGGGAGTATTTTTTATTTCTGTGTGGTAGTGTCCGTATTTCGATTGGAGTATGTTTTGTGTCGGAGTGAAAGAATTTACGCGTTTAAGTGGCGTCTCGCGGTCTTTGACTGCGCACGCCTTCTGTCGAACTCTCTGCGTTAGCAGAGAGGAACCCGGACGAGGCTTTGCCGAAGAGCAAGGTTTCGTTCGGGGAGGTAGACAGGGCCTGAACCCGTCTAATCGGCTTCAAAGGCTATTTTTTTGGCCGAGCCTACGGGCTCGGAGAAACCCACAATAAAACCGGCCTTGTGCCATATTCGTTTCCCGTGGGTGAAATGGTAAGTACCAAGTGAAAGAATTTACGCTACAGCAGTTGTAACACAAATGCCCCCCCACACACGCACATACACACACATTATCAAATCCCTCATAGACCAACTAAAATTATAATACAAAGCACACAAGAATCATACACATGAACACTACAAGACACGAACGTTGACAAGACATATACACATGAAGTCTACTTAACCAGTGAAAATAGAAATAAAATACCAGAATTTTCTCTTCTGCGCCATATTTCATTTTCCGATTAAGTTTAATGAAAGTGAAACAGGTTACATTGATAGACCTTTCCTATCATGCTGTCGGATTTTAATCAGTATTTGATCTAATTTATATGTATGTATGTATGTATGTATGTATGTATGTATGTATGTATGTATGTATTCTGTGAATAAATTCGTCCCGGCCTTTGGCTGGGGTTTTTGACAAGTAATGGATCGTTTCTTGGCGGAAGACTGAGATTCGATCAAGCTTTGACTAGCTTGACTGGCTTTTTAATCCTGTTAGGACAAGTTATGACCAGCTTTGACTAGGCTCTGACCAGCTTGGACAAGCTCTGACCAATATTTTGACCAGTGGCCTATGTATGTATGAGTGAAAAAAAACACTGTCTCCCACGTTAATCGACCTTGTGTCATCTCTTGATTTAGTGGGAATCAAGTAAATACCATTCTGTGAATAAATGGGTACGTGGCCGAGGGGTTAGAACGTTCGCATTCTGAGCACGAGACCCGGGTTCGAATTGTTATGGGTCTGACGAGGTCGACTCCAGCGTGCGGCACCTTTGGAAAATGCCTGAAAACCATACCAAGGGTTGACCCAAGCCTTGTGAGTGAAATTGAGGAGATGGAATCCTTGTCGATAGCTGTGCTAGCACGAACTCACAAGTCATCGTGGTTTGGGAGTGTTGGTCTTGTTCAAATTGTTGATCGCGCTAGATAAGACGCTTTTCCCAGAAACTGTAACTAAGGTCTGCTCAGCAGTTGCAGTATAAACCAGAGGTGGGCTCTGTGGGTGTTGTATAAACACGAGTGGCCAGCTATATATATTCTGCACGACACATAAACTAGAATTATATATATATATATATATATATGTGTGTGTGTGTGTGTGTGTGTGTGTGTGTGTGTGTGTCAACATAATCAAGAGAAGAGATAATAATAATAATAATAATAATAACCCGGTTACAGATATAGGACCTGTAAGAAATTTATGGGATTTTACAATACACAGAGACAGCACAATCAAAGCTAATCGACCTGACATCGTGATTAGAGACCACAAGACAAAATGCCTTCCGTATTGACATAGAAGTCCCTGGAGATTGTAATGTATCTTTGAATATCTTCAAAAAACCTATCAAAATACAAGAACCTTGGAATCGAAATCTCAAAAATGTGGCGCATGAGGACATTGACAATTTCAGTTGTAGTTGGGGCCCTCGGATTGATTGGAAAATATTCCAATGGACTCATTGAAGGGGATCCTGGAAGCCCAGACCTGAAAGAAATACAAAAAAATATACTTACATGTACAGTTCACATATTAAGAAGGGTTATATCCATATAAAATATGTGCCAGCTTAAGTGCTTTTTCCCTCAAAAAATGGTCTGTGGAAAATGTCATGATGCCATTTCTGACCTTCGGTTGGGACCCGGAAATAAATGTGTATACTCCAGAAATAATAATAATAATAATAATAATAATAATAATAATAAGTGATCATCTTGTATCAGGTTGCACGATGTTGGCACCCACTGAATATAAAACCCAACATGACAGATTGGGCCAATATCTGCACTGGAAAATCTGCAACTTCTACGGGAAGGAAACTGAAAGAAACTGGTATGAACACCACCCAGACTCGGTTACGGAGATAGGACCTGTTACAATTCTATGGGACTACACAATACACACTGACAAAACAATCAAGGCCAACCGGCCAGATATTGTTATTAAAGACCACAAACAAAAACGGTGCCTCCTTATTGATATGGCAGTCCCTGCTGACTGCAATGTATCTTGAAGATATTCAAAAAGTTGTCAAAGCACAAGGACCTTGAAATAGAAATCTCGAAAAATGTGGCATATGGGAACATCAACAATCCCTGTTGTAGTTGGAGCCCTAGGACTGGTTGGAAAAGATTGCAGTAGACTAATTGAATGGATTCCTGGAAGTCCATGCCTCAAGGAGATACAAAAAATTGTTCTGACAAGTACAGCCCACACCTTACGAAGGGCTTTATCTATGTAATTTAATTCTTTTTTATTTTTTTATTTTTTTTTCAGTGGAAAGTGTCATGACGCCATTTCTAACCTTAGGTCCCTGGGCGGGACTCGGAAAGAAATATGTAAACGCCAGAAATCAAAGAAAATAAAAATAATAATAATAATAATAATAATAATAATGAAGAAAAAGAATGAATTTCTTTGGAATATGAATATTTTGAAGAATCCCTTATCGTTGTAGTAAAAAAAAAAAAATAGACATTGACCAATTAAATTGAAGTAAAAATAGACAAATTTAAGAAACATGGCGGATGCCTTTTTGTGATGAAAGTTTAAATAATATTTAACTCAAAAAGTATATAAAAGCAAATGTGTGGTAGAAGAGAAACATTCCTTAGTCAAAAGAATTTGATTTGTCCATACAGATGAATAGCGTTGGGGCAAACCAGAGTCGATATGAGGAAATATTACTCGTTCAAAAATGTCTAAACTGTTATATACAACTGTTTCATCAGATCAATCACTAAAAATGTTTTTAAACGAATGAATCTTCCAAATGAATAAATAATCTAATAAACAGATAGTGTTTAATATATACAAATTACTTTCATCCTGTGTTTAGATTTTATTCTAATTCCAATCATCGCTTTTGAAAACAATAAACATTACCGAAGAGCAAAGGCAGTTAAAAAAAAAAACGGTGTCATGGGGAAAACTGTCCCTTTGACACTCCGTCTTAATGCGGACACGTTTATTCATGTGTGACCCTATTTTTCTGGAAAACAATTTTAAGAGAAAGATTTTATGAATTTCAACCGACAGTTATGCAAGCTGTTGGGTCAATGAATGCCGAATGTTTCTTTATGGAGATGGCTTTTTGTGTAGTGTTATAGACTCACAGGAAGTAGTATTCACTCAACTACTCATGGATAATAGCCATGCCATTCTTGGTTAGAAACTGTCTCACACCCAAGGCGGTGTGCGCTGGCGCATTGTCGTGATGCAACCAACACTCTCCACTTTGCCACAGGTCAGGGTGTTTTCGTCTCACCTTGTCTCGTAAACGCTTCAAGACTTCCAAGTAAAAAGTCTGGTTAACAGTTTGAACAGGAAAAACAAATTCTTTGTGGAGAATTACTTTCACATCAAAGAAAAACAGTCAGCATCGTCTTGACATTAGACTTCACTTCACGCGCTTTTTTGGGGTTGTGGTGACGTTGGATGCTTCACTGACTTGATTGCTGCTTTGTTTCCGGGTCATAGCCATAGCACCAGCTTTCGTCACCAGTGATGACCTTCGAAAAAAGGTCAGGGTCAACTTCCAACTGTTCTTTCAGTTTACGACAGCCATCCTTTCAGCCATGGTAAAAATAGACGAAAAGGCGTGAAGCACTTCAAAACAAGTGTGAACAACAGAGCTGTACGTCTTCCCACGATGACACCAGTTAGCACACCGATGCCTGAGGGTTGCCTCAAGTGGCATCTAGCGGTGGAAGCCTGAACTACGACGGGCTTGTCACACAGAAAACGATTCCGCTTACTTTTGGGGCCCCCTCGTACTGTTAAATATGTAATCTCGCTTCGTATCCTCAGCTAATTTGTCTATCGACAAAATATCAGTTTCTATCCAGTGTAAGAATGCATCTTCGAATTTCTCCTCCTCTTTGTCACTTTCAGAACTAATTAACCTCAATCTCAACAAAGCATCTACATGTGAAATGGTATTGCCTTTCATGTACACAATATCAAAGTCAAACGCCATTAACATTAAGGATCATCTTAGAATTCTAGAAGCCGTAACCTTGGGAGGTTCCTTCCTAAGATTAAATATGAATTTTAACAGTCTATGTGCGGACCTTTGTAGGAATTTCTTTCCAATAAGAAACTGACGAGCTCTATTTGTCGTCCATATTATGGCTAACACTTTTTCTCAATATTTGATTAGTTCAATTCGGCTTTTGACAATGTTCTCGAAAGACCATCCTGATCTGGAAATTGAATGTTCACATGTGTCAGTTGTTACCAATATTTCTTTTCTCTCGTTGAATATCATTGCTACTGTCTTGTTTGCCAGAACAGATTTGAAATTTTCAAATGCCACTTGTTCTTTTGTCCAAATAAATTCCACATTCTATTTTCTTAAGCAACAAAAAAACATCTGTCAGTTTGGAGTATCGCTCTCTACATATCGTCTGTAGAAATTTAAAATTCCGAAGAAATATTTCAATTCTTTTTTGTTTTTAGATACTTCAACTTTTTTTTTATTTTTTCAATTAACGGTTGGTCTGATATTATGCCTTCGTTATATAATTAATATCCCCAAAATGATATTTTTTAGTGTTGTGCACACATTTCTTTCTTTAATTGCTAATCCACCATTTTTAACTTATTCAAAACCATACTGGTGTGCCATTAGTTCGTCGAAGTTAATAGCACCAACACAAATGTCATCCTGGTAGCATATTGTATTTTATATATCGCTACCAATAACTTGCTCTATAGCCTTTTGAAAAATCGCACTTGCGGTTTTAAAACCATACGGTATTCTTTTCCATCGTAATGAGCCTGTTGGCGTGTTTATTTTTGTGACTTCTTTAAAGTCTTCCACAATACGTATTTGAGGGTATGCCAACTTTAAATCCATTTTAGAGAATTTTTTCATACCCGCAATGGAATTCAAAGCCCATTCTACATTGTGGATAGGATATGAGTCTGCACATATTTTGTGGTTTACGCTTATTTTGTAGTCACCACAAATACGCAGATCGCCATTAAAATTAAAATTACTAACGGGGAGGTCCATTTGTTCAAGTAGATCGTGTTCTAGTCAGTTTTTTAGGTTTTCCACGTTTATTGGTAGTAGATGGACTGGCACTTTTCGTGCTTGAAACTTTGCTTCATAGTTTTTTTTTTTTTAGCATTCTAGTTTCTTCGGCTTTGACTTTCTTATACTAATCTTGTCAAATTTATGTTCAATACATCATTTCCAATTAGACAATGATTCTTTTCATTGTTTGCCCTGATAATAGTAATACGTCAAACTTATTTATTAGATCCATGTCGAACTGATTCAATTAGGAAAATTAAGAAAACCAAATTTAAAGAAAAGCCTTTCTGTAAATTTGGTTTTCTTAATTTTTTTCTACAAATTACTGTGTATCAACGTCATGTCACTTCTCGTATCTAGTTACATGTCCAATAAAATTTGAATTTTTAATAGTCCTTTCACATTTCTTTTTTCAATGAAAAGACGTCCATACTTATTGACTATTCATTTTGTTGGATCGTTTCTATGTTTCTCTAATTGAATTTACACATACGTTTAAAATAATTCATTTTGAAACACTTCTTATATACCGGACATTTTTGTTTTTCTCTTTGATGTCGATAACCACATTATTCTGTCTTTCCTTTTATTTAGTATGTGTTCATTTCCTCTACCAGATCCGTAACTTTTGTTGTATTTAATTTTCGAATCAATTCTTGTTGCTGAACTAATTCAGCACACTATTCTAGCGACACTTTTCCCAGCTGTAAATGTATTAGAGGCATTTGCTGATATTCCTCATTTTGAAGGCCGTTTACCAATTTCATTTGGCTCAAATCCTCTTCCTCTGGTTTTCCGCTCAAATTCACAATATTTAGTGGCCTGTTTCAAACGAAGAACATTTTCAATAACTGGTTCATTCACTTTTTGAAGAAAAATTTTGTGAACTTAGCTTTTTCTGCATTTACTTGTTTTTTTCTTGGGTGCTATATTTCTCATTATTAGCTGACTTATATTGTCAAACATCATTTCCACCAAATGTTTTGGGTGTGAAATTAATGATAATTTTATAATGGCCTCACAACCAATAGCTGCCAAGAAGAGATGAGTTATCTGGTATTCTCCCCCAACTGATTTTAAATCCTCAAGCTTTTTTGTTCTAACTTTAGCTGCTAGAATCTTAAGCCACGCTTGTGCGTACTCATAATTATCCAATAATAATTGTTCACTCAGTTCTTTATATATCGGCGACTCCATTGTAGGGTAGTGTCACTGACTCACAGGAACTAGTATGTACCCAACTACACATGGGTAATAGCAATAGCTATTTATGGTCTTTGTGATTTCCTATGTAAATAGTACAAACGCTGCGACATTGTGATCCAGGTTGATCGACCTCTCCAGGTGAGAATACAGGGTTTGTTCGTCGAAAAAAATATGTAAAGAAAGTCCTGCTGGATTGTAGATGTAGTTGTATTTGAGGATCATAGGCTGAAAGCGAGAGAAACTGAAAAATTTGGAAAAAAAAGTACAAATTCGAGAACGTTCTGAGATTGCATAAACCAGCACATTGTTTAGGTGGGGGGGGGGTCGGCGTAGATATTGAGAAAATTGCGAGAGATTACCATTCTGTCTCTAGATTATTACTAGATATTTATTGAGAAGAACTAATTTTTTTTTTTTACTAATGTTCACCCTATGCAAGACCTTAGAGTCAGTCAAGATAGAGCGCTACTGAAGGAGTTTGTTGTATGAGCGGCAAGAGTAAAAGATGAAAGGAGCAGATCTTGAAGATATGTGGGAAAGATAGCGGTTAGCTCTAGACGTGAACTGATTAGGATTGTAATGTTCGGAGAAGCATTGTCATGGGATACCTTTCCGCGAAGCAACAGTTCTTTGGAAGAAACCGTTCTAGTGGAACTTCTCACTAATAGAATACCATGCGAATGAGAGTGACTCATTGTACGAGGCTTGGCGGGCCATAGACGTGAAGGACAGAATTGATGGAACTAAGGAATGTATCTCGTCTGAGCATTTCCCATGGAAATAGCGATAGAGTAGCGAGAGTCTTGTAACATTTCGTCTGTGAAGGCGAAGGCGAAGAAGAAGAAGAAGGCGAAGAAGAAGAAGAAGGCGAAGAAGAAGAAGAAGAAGGGGGAGGAGGAGGAGAAGAAGAAGAAGAAGAAGGCGAAGAAGAAGGCGAAGAAGAAGAAGAAGAAGAAGAATGCGAAGAATGCGAAGAATGCGAAGAAGAAGAAGAAGAAGAAGAAGAAGAAGAAGAAGAAGGAGGAGGAGGAGGAGGAGGCAGAAAAATTGCTATGTGATGTGCATTCTGTAAGAATAAAAAAGACAATTTAACAACACTAAGAAAACGGAGAAGAAAAAGTTATACTAGCAAAATAGACGGCAGGAAGACTTGACTGATTTGATTAGAATATTGCTGATTCTCAGGCGAGGATAACCTTCACGTTCAAGTCATAAAGACTGTATGCGTTGGTTTGATTGCTAAAGTGGGGCGCCGTTGGAAATTCACCTGATGCAGGTGTTTTCTGCCTTGATTAAATGACTATCACGCCAGTAAAAAAAAGTCACAATAAAAAAGAGGAAGTTCGAAGCGAGAAGGGAAAAGATACTAAAAAGTAGGAAAAGTTCTAAATAAATAACTACTCTGAATCTTAGATATTAAATAAACCAAATTGTTATTCTAGTCTTAATCGAGTTCTTATCCCTGTTGCAATAAGTGCAACGCTTTATCGTTGTAAAGTGTGTTCCAATAACTTGAACCGATTTTAAATGTGAATTAAGTTTAAGCGTCTAATGATTTTTTTCTTTCTCTTTCAGATTTGTGGACATTTGGGCGATGTTATTTTTCACACATAATTACCATGACTTAAATAACAATTTGCCAATAGACAAATAAATACATTTTCACCAATAACACTGATTTATTTACTGCTGACTTTGATTCGTCTTAATGAAACACCCTTTAGTTTCGGCTGCTGCAGATTAGCTCCACTAATTCGATAAGAAAGGGAATACCATAATGAAAAACTACAATAGATATATATATATATATATATATATATATATATATTTGACCATAAATATTCTTTATATTATTAAGAGGAAAGACCAAATAATTTTTTGTTTATGACATTATATTTTTTTATCCTTTTTACAACGTTCGAAATTTTGGTTAAAATCTTTCTTTTTCCGTCAGCGGGGTGACCAAATGTTTGTATAGGAAATTTTACCACGTTTTATTGGTTGAAAAACACCTTGATTTGGGAATTGATATTATTAAATCCAATTTTTTTCAGGTTTGTATCTTGCCAATATTTTAAATTTCTAATCGGTTGTTCAGCGATCTCTGTTCAACTTTTTCGCATTTTTCCACTTTCTTATCACTCAATAAATTTAGAATATTTTGTTTCTCTTTTGAGTTTATATCTTTCAGGTGATCTATGGGAATCTTCATGTCTTTGAAATTATAAAGGAAAGACCAATAACAATAATATTAGGTATATTTATTTGCCATATGGTAAACAACTTTTGACATTTTTTTATCTGAATTTCTAGAATGAGGACGTCCTCATTTACACTATTTATATTCGGACTATTGGAGAGTTAAACGTCTGAAAGTATCAGCGCATATGCTAGGCTATGAGTAGGCCTAGCATAGAAATGAATACAATATGGAAGCCGATAATAAAGAAAAACACATGACAGCAAAGCCTCAACAGCAGCAGCAACAGTGAAGACATGACAGCCAGCAGCAGCAGTGGCAGCCTATGCACTGTTAGGTTTTAAAGCTCTAAGTTTAATCCAGTGGTTAAAAGCGTTAGTTTTAAATTTGGTGGCATAGTGTCGGTAAATTAAATCCTTGAGTCGGGCAGTGAGTAATTGTACTCAGTGGAAACAGGCGAACATTTACTGAATAATTAATAACTAGTAGTTGAAAGCATTGGTACGTGAATTTAGTGATATAATAATTATTAGTTCAATCCCTGGGCCCGGCTGTGTATACTTGGTCTCTGTACTGAGCAGTAATAAAAACTAAACGAGATATCCCTAGACATGGGCAGTGGAACGAGAGCAGTCTACGCCCGTAGATTAAATAAATGGTTCTGTTTCTTGTATATTACGTAGATCGATATGCACCCGAGAAGGCCAGAGGACACAACAAAGATGAGGACAATAATCGGATGATGATAACAACAAAGATGAGGACAATAGTTCGAATATAAATTGTGTAAATGACGAACCTTCGATTTACATAGACTCTGCTGCTCAAATCTACATGATATGTTTATTATATCAAGAACTGACCTCCGATTTGTCAAGGCTGCTTATTTATTAAGAACAACGTCCTGGGGAGACGATCCCAGAGTACCGCTGGAAAGTGAATGAAAACCATACCACGGGTTGACATAAGCTATATGAGTGAAACTGGGTAGATGAAACTGTTCTCAAGTCATCGTGATCGAGGGTTTGAGTGTACTGTCCTTATTCAAACTACGCTCTCTCTCAGAAATTGTATCTGCACTGTGGGTGCTAAAGAAACAAAAATGTGGCTGAGTAGATATCTGCAAGAGGGATTAGCTAGTCACCTGAGCTAAAAGGTATAATCCGGAAAATTCTACCAATACTGGTAAGTGAATATAAGTTTTTAATAACAATAATAATAATAATAATAATAATCAAAAAGCTGTCAAAATACAAGGACCTTGAAATAGAAATCTCGAAAATGTGGCATATGGGAACATCAACAATCACTGTAGTAGTTGGAGCCCTAGGACTGGTTGGAAAAGATTGCAATAGACTAATTGAAGGGATTCCTGGAAGTCCATTCCTCAAGAAGATACAGAAAATTGTTCTGACAAGTACAGCCCACACTTTACGAAGGGTTTTATCTATGTAATTTTTTTTTTTTTTTGTCAGTGGAAAGTGTCATGCTGCCATTTCTAACCTTAGGTCCGTGGGCGAGACCCGGAAAGAAATGTGTAAACGCCAGAAATCAAAGAAAATAAAAAAAAAAAAATAATAATAACCAACATCGTGTCGTACACATAATGAGGAGAGTACTGAAGCATTGATGATACATGTTGTCACTTGATCTCCAGTGAAAGCCACCACGCATTTCTCTTGTGATTATGTAAATAATGCTTTGGTTGAAATATTATACATGAATATTACGTCTGTATTTTTATTCTTTTAATTTTTTTTAGTCGCGATTTTTTTCTTCTTCTGCTTTTTTTTAAAAAAAGGTGCTAAGTGTTGTAGCGTATCCTCAAATGGCGAAAGTGCTGATTATGTGCTTAGCTAATTTGTCTAACTGTTAAAATGTCTCATTTATCTTTTCGTCTGAATTATACGTTTCGTCTTTTTTTTTTTAGTTTATTATTATTATTATTATTATTATTATTAGTATTAGTAGTAGTAGTAGTAGTAGTATAATACACGTTCATTTACATTTGTCTCCAAAATGAAGATGCCTAAACAGCGCCATAATGAGGAAAGACACAGACTGATGAGAAGTCTTTAAAAGCACTGATAGGCCGATGACGAAATAGCTAAGAATTTATATTAGCACATTGACTGCCAGAGGTCAATTACGAAATCTGACTTCAAACGCCAGCTTCATCATAATAGCCGCTTCTTCGACAATAAAAGAATTTTAAGAGTTGATTTATAGCTTCAGCTGATGTCTTAACATTGTTTTTGACACTAAAAGTATCACTGCATATAAACTTGTTGGCGCCCGCAGATAAAAAATGTGACAGAAAATGCCAAGCACGAGATAACTCGTAGTCGGCGTCATAATAAAAGCTGCCTGTCTATCACGAGTTATCTCGTGGTTGTCAGTAATTGTGATAAAATAACTAATCTCTTGTCTCTCTTATTTCTGATTGTTTGCACAATGATAACGCTTTTCCGTCTAGAGTCAAAGTGTAGTATCTGTTGCTCTTAAATTGGAATCAGTTACCCTTTCTGACTGAAAAAACTAAACAGGAAGGAACTGGGAAAAGCAAGGAAGAGGAAGGGGAGGGAAGTGGGTGTGAGGTGAGGAAAATGGATAATAATAATAATAATAATAATAACAGAAATCAGATGAAGAGCAAAAAAATAGATAGTGAAAAATGGATAGATATATATATATATAAAAAAAAGGAAAGGCTTGGTGATTGGGCAATGAGCAAAAGCTTGAAGAGAGGTGGGTAGGGATAGAAAGGTGTAAACATTATAAATGCATTTTAAAAACATTCTTTATTGAAGAGTGCAAAAGAAACACAAGAGTTCACTTATTTCTTTTTCACATTTGAAACTAATCCATTCATAACATTTAAAAGTAAATACTTGGCAGAGTAACAATGATTGGTAGGGATAAGGGAGAGAATGGGAAGATACAGGCAAAGAGTTAGGGAAGAATGACGAATGAGATAATCGATAACCTTAGTTGTCAACACCTGTGAAATTTTCACAGGTCCAAGTTGCTTAGTTGAACATAAAAGAACCAACATGAAATTTCCCGTGACTTTATTTTGTAGTTGTCAGTCAACATGTTAAAAAGAATAAACTTGTTCAACGTTAACATATTCGGCGCCATACAATCTTAATTAATTAATATTCTTATTATATATATATATATATATATATTGTGGATGAACTAGCAATTAAAGCTCTTTCTAAATATTTTCGTCTTAATGAATTGTTTTCTTTTTTAATTAAAGAGGCATTTTTATATCAAAGTTTTGTTCTGTATATATATATATATATATATATATATATATGTGTGTGTGTGTGTGTGTGTGTGTGTGTGTGTGTTATGTGTGTGTGTGCGTGTGTGTGTTAATATGAATATATACTTGAAAAACAAGGTGGATAAAATAAGTAAAGGTTTATTGTAAAGAATAAAGGTAACAGTTATGCACAAGGTCGTCACAAGTCAATCAAGTATTGAGTGCTACAACTGGAAGGTCGGTTGTTCTTGTGTCAGTCTGATCAGATGTGGCACAGGGCCCAGTTTAATGTGAGGTAATCCGAGCGCGTAGGCTCGGCCAAAATTTCTCTGTAGATCCCGTATAAAACGGAGTCGGGTAGCTGTTTCCCGCGACGAGACTCTGCACTTCGACATAGCCACGTCTGAGGATCCTCTCTGCTCGGAGGCAGAGAGTTTGACCAGCACAGCTTAAACAGGTATCAGCGAATCAATATTTACTTCCCCACCTCCGAGGGAAAGATGTGGCACAAGGCAGAGTTTTACGGGTTTTCCGAGCCCGTAGACTCGGCCAAAAATGCCCGTAGAAAGTGTAAAACAGAATCGGGTTGGTCAACCACCCCGAACGAGACCCTGCTCTTCGGC